AGGGCAGGTACAGAACCCCCCATGGTATCGTATTTGTTGTCTGACTGCCTGATTGTTCTCTTTTTTTTTTTTTTTTTTTTTGTGTGTGTGGGTGTGTGTGTGTGTGTTCTCATTTGTCGTGTTGTGCGGGCATTTGACTTTACAGGTTGTCGATGAACTAGTCAAGAAGAGAAGTGAGGTTGAGTGGTACGTTGCCATTGCCCTTGTCCTTTGCCTGTGCCTTGTTTGTTGTGTATATAGGAGGGGTGCCGGATTAGTGCTGTCATAGTCGCATTACCCCTTTTCCCTGGATGTATTTATGGCCACCAGCTTGACATGTCCAAACTGAGGGGAAAACAGGGCTACTTTCCTCCCAGGAAACACCCTGGAGTTATATTCGAGTTTGGCTGTGAAACTCCCCCCCAGCTCCCCACATAATTCAAAATTCAAATATGGCTTCCCTGACCCTTGCTACTTTTTTTTGGTTTTAATTTTGGCTTTGAATGGGTCTCTCTCTCTCGAGTCATCTCTGCACCACCACTACCGTCTTCACCCGAATAGAATGCCCGGTCATTATATCTGCATTTGGCTCAACTTTCAGTCCAGATGCAGTGATAATGACCGGGTGTTCTATTCGGGTGAAGATGGTAGACTCTCTAACTGTAGAACGAACTCTCAAAACCTCGCCCGGCTCTGAGAGCGCTACAGGACAATGCCAGGCTGGTCTGCCCACGAAGACCTCCAGTCGACAATCGAAAAAGCGGGCCCGAAAGTCGGCAATGCGAGAGGAGCCCAGAAAACCATAATGATCCAGCACTGCCACTCGCGACGTTTTGAGAGTGTCCTTGTAGATTTTGTGGTCTGACAACGATATCGGCAGAGCCTCAGGTGAAAGTTGGAGGGGTTTCAGAGAGTGCCAATCGAGAGTAGTATGTGCAGCAATGCACTACACCAGACTTTTCTCCAAAACCTTTTTATGCTTTTCGCTTGTTTCTTCCCCCCGGGAAAAAATCGACCTTTTGTGACGTTTTGTGACCTTTTGTAAAGTTGTGTAAACAGAAGTGGATAATTAAACTGCCTTGAAAAGCTTCGCCAGTGAAGTTGCATTTCGATAACGGTTTTGCGTCGGGGGAGGAAACGTGGTGGTGTTTGTATGGTCTGTGGCCGTACTCTCTGTCTGTGGCTTTCCTTTAGCGCTACTAGTCTTCCTGTGAGCACGCTGCACCCTTGTCGTGACTGTACCCGACTGGAAAGAAAGCCTGTATTCATGATCAGGCTGTAGTCTGACTGAGCCTGTATTCATGATCGGCGGGCTGTAGTGTGACTGTATAGGACGGAAAAGATAGCCTGTATACAATTACTATACAATGATGATGTGAGCCTGTGTACCGGACTGAAAAGATACCCTGTATACATGGGACTGTAGAGGACTGAAAAGATAGCCTGTAGATAATACTACTTGTGGCGCATATGTGTGGTGTGTGCGGCGTGGTGCACTGATCGCTGATGAACGAAACAAAAAGCAGCGGCCGTGATGTCTGTATATGCTGGCGTGTGCGCGCGCGCGAGAGAGAGAGAGAGAGAGAGCTCTTTCACATAAAACAGAAATGCCTCAGGCTGCCAGTATTCCGAAAGGCCCCTGCAGATAATTAGCGAGGGTCTCCTCGCCAAGAAAGAGGTAGTCGTTGGACATGTAGCAGGGCAGTAGCAGGCCAACTATATATGGTGTAGCTTTGAATTCAGGTCCATGTTTCAGCAGTTATGGGTTACTTAGATACTAACTCAGCACGTGATTATCAGGGCTTCACTCCACTAACCAAATGTGCAGAACTAGAAAGAATCTTCTGCTAGAACGTGGAACTATACGGGCCATGATACGGCGCATTCGCCGCCATATGTTTGTCTTTTGTGCAAGTGGTGACTAGAGGAGTGAGGCCCTTAGGGGCCACTGCACGTAAGAAAAGGAGAAACAAAAAAAAAAGAGGGAGCTACTGTAGTATTAGTAGCAAGTTAGTAACCCATAACTACTGGACACACAGACCTCAATTCGAATCCAGAATATATACATTGCCAGCCTGCTCGGGTCCCACCTGCAATTCGATGAACATTTCTGTGAAGAAATGGGACCCTAAGGCTTGCTGATTCTCTGCTGGGGGCCCTTCGGAAAAGAGACTGGATCCGATGAGGAGTACGATGTGGTCCCAACTGTTTGTTTTTTTTTTTTTTTTTTTTTTTTTTTTTTTTTTTTTTTTTTTTTTTTTTTTTTTTTTTTTTTTTTTTTTTTTTTTTGCGCTTACAATTTTCAGAAGGGAGGGACATGTTTGGCTACCACAGGCTCTGCCCTTTTTCACCATATTATGATCTGCGATTCTGCATGGATGTCGATTAGGAATTCCTTGTGTAAGTCCTTCACTCCTCGAAAACAATGGGTATTTTACACCAGGCAAATCTTTGACTCTTACTTCCTCGAGGCTCGAACCAATAGATGAAAAAGCACAGGTGCTGCGGTACCACAGAGGACCATAGGTGAAAAAGTACAGGTGCCGCCGTACCGCAGAGGACAACCAAACAAATTATACGAAGGGGCGTTAGCTGTAGTTTGAGAATCCGTCCTGTTTCAGATAGGTGATCGTAGGCGCCAGTCGTTCTATTCTTCTTTCTTACAAGAACCGAAGACAGGCTTGCCATGAAAAAAAAAAAAAAAAAAAACTCGTTACTTGGTAAAAACTTAAAAGATTCAGAAGACGCGAGTTGGGTTGACTTGTCTAGGCTCAAATAAAATTTCACTATATGCGGGAACCTTAAGGCCTTTGTTTTGTGTGTCAAATTCGATACATGTACGAGTTCACCTTAGCATATACTGAAATGTAATGGCCATCATCCGCAGGAAACCAACGTATGTCTGCTGCCACAATTGGTGAGTTCTCGAGTCCTCCGTGTTTGCAACTCTTTTCGATCCAACTCAAAAGTTACTCAATCGAATGCGATTGACCTGGCGCCACTGCCACTTCGCGGTCTTGGGTTATGTCGCATCACGCGCACGCGCATACGTGCGTGCATGCGCTTCGCATGCAAGTCATGCGCCGCATGTAAGAGTACTATACGATTATGATCCGGGCCTCCTGGGTGAGTCTTGTGCGGAACCTACCCCGGCCTGACTGCCCGGCCGGCAACACAGTTTTTATTTTTATATTTTATTTTAAACTTGGCAAATAAATTTCCCCCCTCCCCCCTATTTCTTTTCTTTTAATTAGGGCCCAGTGCCCAACCACAAAACACATCATGATGGTGAAATGAAAGTTTTAGATTCAGGTGCCGCAAAGTCTGCCAGGCCCGCTTCGTTGGGCGGAGCCCCTCCCCTGTAGAAAGACGACAAAAGGAGTCCACAAATAATTCCTAAAAAAACTCAGCACAAACGAACCCTAAGTAGCAAGTACCGTAGCCCAAATCAACGGGCGCCAATTAACCTAACTAACGGAAGCAATTAGCACCCTCTATCAATCCAGAGTCGAATGACAATGTGAGAAAAAGAACAGTTACTTCAAAAAAAACAAAAACAAAAAAAAACGAACCCTAATTATCTTTAGCGGCTTAGCCCAAATCAACAGGCCCAGATTGCGCTAACTCTTTAAAGCAACTAGCACCCAATATCAGCCCAGTCTAATTACCATCCTAATCAAAGGCCAATTGCTTTCAAAAAAAAAAAGGAAAAAAAAAAAAGGCCAATTGCCATCCTACCACCCCCACCCCCACTGAGCCCCACACCTCCCAACCCCACCCCACCCCCACCCCATCCCCTGCATAACCGCCCCCTCTCAGGGAAGAGAGAAAAAGGAAAGAAAGATGCATGCAGTTGAAAGATCTGTCATTTCTAGCAATTGACGGGTGTTGTGCGATATGGAAAGGGAATAACATATACCTATGCTGTCTGTTGTGCCGACTGCTGTACGACCCTGCAGGTTCATCGAAGGCGACTTCGACACGTATGTTAGCAATATGCGCAAGCCACATACATGGGGCGGGGAGCCGGAGTTGTTGATGTCCTCGCATGTCCTGAGGTAGGTCGAAGTCGGGAGGTTTCAATTGCCATAATGTTCGATGGACCTTGTCGGACGGATTTTTTTTACCATGCTCTTGTTTTGAGCGGGGCATGATCTTCAATACTTATGTTGCTGGGAAAAAAGAAAGAAATGATGTAGAGAGTATTGCTAAGAAATAAGAGAGAGAAGCTGTCCTTCAGGACATCCGTTAAAATTGGAACGACACACAGAAGATTAGCATGGTCCCTGTGCAAGGATGACATGCAGATCCCACCAAAAAAGCCTAAGGAAAGTAAAGGAAGAAACACAAAGCAAAAGTCAAAAGAACGGTTTCAGAAATTCAGTGTGCTCAGTTTTCTTCGGTTGCTTTGCAAAGTACGCTCTTTCAGTGTAAACATGTGGCAGTATATATATACACACAGGTACGCACACAGAGAGAGAGAGAGTGAGATAGAGAGAGAGGGCGAATTAGGGGGGTGCCAGTTGAAGTACATTTGTTTGAGGTGTGGCTTCACACACACACGGAGAGAGAGGGCAAATTAGGGGGGTGCCAGTTGAAGTACATTTGTTAGAGGTGTGGCTTCACACACAGAGAGAGAGAGAGAGAGAGAGAGAGAGAGAGAGAGAGAGAGAGAGAGGGCGAATTAGGGAGGTGCCAGTTGAAGTACA